GTGGCGGAGCAGACCCACCGTATGTAGGGGTAAGTGAATTTGGGGATTTTTTGCTAATATACATATGCTAAATTGCTAATATAGTAATATACATATACATATGCTAATACTTGAAAATTGAAATTCATATGCTAAATTGCTAATATACATATACATATGCTATTATGCTAATAATTGAAATTCATATGCTAAATTGCTAATATACATTACAAATTGCAGAATTTTTTGTAAATTGCTGAAATTTGGTTATAATTATCTTATATTTCAAGTATAAATATTCTCTTGAAAAATTGTAAGAGTGTTAAATTGGCTTGACTTTGTTAATTACCTCTGAAAAGTTGTAAGAATGTTGAATGGGCTAGACTTTGTTAATTACCTCGTAGCATAAAAACATTCTCTTGAAAAGTTTCAACATATGGCCTCACCTTGCTCAATATCTTATCGTAAACATTCTAACTATTTGTTGATCAAGAATAATAAACAATCTAATTTCTACCTTCTAATTAGCTAGAGTGGTTGATGTTATTGCTTGGATTGGTATGATTTTATTTAGATGATTATAATTAGTCTTGTACCGACTAAGAATTAAACGTGATAATACAACTCCTCTACATAAGGTAGAGCTATAGAGGTATAAGTACACTTCTATAAGAGCCAGGAGAAGTCACAGCATTAGCCCGGCTATTCTGCCTTCTAGTTTTCATAATTTCATATGCTATTTCGTTCATTCATTGATTTCCTTCTGCATTTATCATATGCTATTTCGTTCATTCATTGATTTCCTTCTGCATTCAAATTTCGGAAGTTTCGAACCCACAGTTCGAAAATCCTGGTGACGCCACTGTCAGCATGCACCTCATTACCCAAACTATATTCAACTTGATTTTCGAAAGTCACCTCAACAAAATCATAATCTACGGCAACATTCATGGGTACTATTTTTTCTGGTATAATGTTGGATGATGTCGGATCAAGAAACGGAAAAACATCCTCGAAAAATTTAACATCTCGCGACACAAAAAATTCTTTCGATTCAAGATCAATTAAATTCCAACCTTTCTTCCCAAAGGGATAACCCACAAACACACACTTACGACTCCGGCTGGAAAATTTGTCTCCCTTAGTTTTTTTATTATGGGCAAAACAAAGACACCCAAATGTACGAATAGTAGAGTAAGAGGGAGGAGTGCCAAATAAAATTTCGTAGGGGGTTTTATTTTGTAAAAGAGGAGATGGAGTACGATTCATTAAATGGGCAGCAGCTAAAACACTCTCCCCCCAAAAATAAATCGGCAAATTAGCCTGAAAGCGTAAAGCCCTCCCTACATTGAGAATGTGTTTATGTTTCCTCTCTACCCTACCATTTTGTTGCGGGGTTCCAACACACGAGGTATGAAATAATATGCCGGTTGCATTAAAAAACTCACGCAAACAATTAAATTCTACGCCATTATCACTTTGAACAATTTTAATTGTTTGAGAGAACTGTCTATCAACCATTGCCACAAAAGACATAAACATACGAAACACCTCAGTTTTATCAATAAGCAGATATATCCAAACAGCACGTGAAAAATCATCCACAATTGTCAAGAAATAACGAGCACCACAAGACAATGCATGCCTATAAGAACCCCACAAATCACAATGTATTTTTTCAAAAATTCTAGTAGTTTTATTCTCACTAATTGGAAAACTATCTCTAGGGTGCTTAGCACGAAAACAAACTTCACATTCTTTATGTAAATGACCCTTACTATTTTGAACGGGAGAGAGAAGCTTAACAACTTTTTCCGAAGGATGACCCAAACGCTTGTGCCACAGTTCTAGCAATTCAGACGACTCAGAAGTAGCCACATGTTGCACGGAAGCCCTTCCTTCGAAGTAAAATAGTCCATCTCGCCTAACACTCATTCCAATAAGCTCCCTCGACTGGTCCTGTATAGCACACATATTTGAGTTAAATTGGACAGTATAATTTGTATCATCAATTAATTGTGATACCGAAATTAAATTGCAACGTAAATCAGGGACAAATAGCACATGAGTAAGAATGATTTTTGATGATAATCGAACCGAGCCTTCCTTTGTGGAACAAACAGTTTTGCCATTCGGAAGACAAACCGGGCAATTAGAGATGGGTCGAGTACCAAAAAGCCACTTGTCACAACAAGTTACATGTCTAGAAGCACCGGTATCCACTATCCACAATGCATTATCAAACTCACCATTCAAACGGTCATCGGGAACTTTTGTGTAACCAATAAACCCGGCAATTGCCTTCCATTGATCCGCGGTGAACGTTTGCGAAGAAGTGGCAACAATATCCGCATTGGTTGACTGAGATGTAGACCCTGCAGCAGTTGCATTGGCTCAAGGCTGCCCACGACCCTTGGTCCTTGGCTTCCCCCGCTTCGAAGGATTTGGCCACCACTCCGGAAAGCCCTTCAATTCAAAGCAACCCGAGGCGAGATGCCCATTTTTCTTGCAGTAAGAACAGAGCATAGAAGCCCTGTCAGGTTTGTCATCGGAAGCATCTTGTTTCGGCTTCCCTTGATTCGTTCAGAGAGCGAAACCCACCACATCAGGTGTTTGTTTGTCTAGAACTTGGGCGGATGTGCAAATTCGTTCGTCTTGCGTGACCAATTGATATGCCCAATCTAGAGTAGGCAAAGGTTCTTGGGACAGAATGTTGGTGCGTGTTGAAGCATAAAAATCGGTGCACAACCCCATCAAAAACTCATGAAGGCGAGCAGTATCCCGACGCTTCTCATGCTCGATGCCTGTTGTACAGTTAACACAGCAAGAGCATGTGATAAGAGGTTCGTGGTTGTTCAATTCTTCCCACAACGCTGTCAATTTTCCGAAATACGAAGCCACGGACATAGCCTTTGACTGCTCACATCGTGCAATTGAGGACTTTAATTGTTGAATCCTCGGGCCATTAACAACTGCAAAACGCATCTTTAGAGTGTCCCATAATCGTTTCGCATCCTTGTACTTCAAAAGAGTGCTCTTCACCTCGGGGTCTATGGTGTTCATCAGCCATGAAATTAACATGGCATGAATTGTGTTCCAATCCGTTTGAGTACACGGAGAGGAAGGAGTGGTGATGGTTCCATCAAGAAAGACAAATTTCCGACGTTCCTCCAAGTCTCCAACGCGGTTTGTATATCCCCTGCCCATTCATCATAATTTTTGCCACAAAGTCTGGTCGGAGTAATGAAGTCACCAGGTCTGTCATGCGAACCTAGATAATACGGGGAAGTAATGTCTATTCGCGGTGGTGGAGGCAGTGGTGTATCATCACCAGCCATGGTGTCGAGTGTTTATGGTTCCTGTTTCGTTGTTTTTTTTTTAATGATTAAATTACCTTGCGACTGATACCATGTCAAAGTAATTAGAGCTCAAAGCTTGACAGCTTCTCATTGATTTCATATCATATAAATAGAGTACATCGTTTCCTAAGATAACATCACAAGATATTCTACATATTTATCTTGAGTCAATTAAGCCTATAATTAAGGAAACAATAATATATGATAAGTAAAGATATTCTCCTAATCTTTCCTTAAAAAATTTTGAAAGGAAATAAAAGGTTAAGATTCTTCAAGTATTAATTGTACCGTTATATGTGTTTTATTTCTTCAAAAATTCTCAAATTCATATCATTTTTGGAGATAAATTTAATTGTTTTTAGATGCACCCTTATGATTAGGTTGCATATAACATAACCCTAAATTAAAATTTTATATTAAATATATATATTAGATTGTTAATTAAGGGTAAATATATGTAAATAATTAGTTAAGGTGAATATGTAGAAAAGAAAATTAATATAAAATTTTAATTTATTTTATTTAAGGTAATTAGTTAAGGTAAATTAATATATAGAAAAGAAAATATGTAAACAAAAAGGATTTAATTGTTTTTAGATGCACCCTTATGATCGAGTTGCATTACTTGAAGATAACTTTGCTCTAAAAAAATCTGTTTACGTATTTTTCCTGCTATCATCAACCGCTAAAGTTGTGACATAAGACCAAATAGTATTCGTCAACACCAAATAGCTTGATGTATATGCTACCTAATAATGTTAATTGATAGAGTGTATAAACCGATTATGGGTTTCAGTCAACAGATTAATTTTTTTTTTTTGTTGAGTTGGTCTTTTAACATGACAACCTTAAAAGACGCTTAGATGAAAATTGAACGAGGAATTAGTTTGAATTTGATTTCTTTGTGTAATAAGAGTTCTCCTTGACTTTGACTTTTCAAGGTAAATGTCTTAAACAGCTACAACTATGTATAAATAATTAAATATCATTAATTTTATGCACCAATTGCCAGGACAATCGCCCTTTGAATTTTTTGTTTAGTAATTTAATTACATCTACTAGCTTAGTTGCAAGCAAGAACGAAGGCAAATCGTTATGCACGATTTATGTCATGTTGAGCATGAGTTCTTAATACTTGACATTCTTTTATCTATTTATATATACACCATTAATTATTTATTAATTACCACTTGAAGACATCCTTTATATTTAGCTCCTTCAATGGATGATTATTTTATGAACTAAAATTTTATACTTCCTCTGTTTCTTTATAGTTGCAACAGTACACACACTTTATCACGATATTTAAAAAGAGGATCTCACATATGTTATAATACACTTAAAATAGAGTTAAGAGGTTGTTAGGAGTATAATGAAGTGGGTCATAAGCTTTAAATAAAGATAATAGTACAATCTTCAACATAAAACCTTCTTTCTATAGTGTGTTGCAACTATTGTCACATTTTCATTTTAGAACAGTGTTACAACAATAATAAAAAAAAACATAGGATATATATATATATTCGAAGTATATAACTAATTACATTGACCATTATTTTTGTAGCCATAAAATATAGTTTAATACAATTCATACGGATTATGGAGTATATAAGAAAAATACTGTACGAAAAGTTCTTGAACAAAACATCACATTAATTTCTCTGTTATTCCTAAAGGCTAAACCTCTTGTTTCATTTTGTAACAAAATGCAGCAACGAGATATTCCACGACCTCACGGAAACGATGTCGTGGGCGGCGGTGCTAGAGTGAGGCTGGAAGACATCGAAGGCGGTGCTAGAGTGAGGCCGGAACAATCCCAGGGAGGTGCTAGAATGAGGCCGGAACAATCCGAGGACAGTGCTAGTGTGAGGCCGGAACAATCCGAGGGCAGTGCTAGAGTGAGGCCGGAACAAGTAAACACCGTGTCGTCGGGAGCTTCGAATTCAGATGGGCAGAAGTTATTGAAGGGTGAACGGTTGAAGCTATGGGGTTTCATTTTTAGGATATGTGCTATGGTCGTTTCTTTCCTCTCTTCTGTTCTTATGGTTTCCGTCTCTGACTTTCATGTATTTCCAGGGTTAAGGTATACTAACTTGTTTCTTACGTCAAACTTCTAGCAATACTACACTCATTTACTTCTCCCTCCGTTTTTTAAGTGCCCCATAATGACATATTACGTATGCCGATGCAAAATTTTAAGCAATAATATCCTTAATTATCATTTAACTATAAATTAAAGTGTCTTTACAATTGTTAATGAATACCAGGGCGGTCTTAACTTTAGGAGCCATCATTCTTAAAATGGTCATTATATATTTTCAACTGGTTTGACTGGTTAATAATAACACATGTCTTGTTTTCGTTAGGTTAGTTACAAAAAGTTAATCCTCTACCACTTAATCACGTACCCCTTCCCTGTATATCATCTTCATTTTTTTTTAACCGACCACTAAAAACTCAACACGTGATCACATGTTAATTAATTTACTCGATCAAAATAAGTTTGGGAAATATACTAAGAAGAAACCCTCTAAAGTTGAGATCACCAGGAGTTAATTAATTGTTGTGGTGATATTTCAAAGAAAAATGTTCATAGTTAGGACTAGCAGCGTCGATTTTCCGAAATTTCTCCCCTTGTATTTCTTTTGCTTTTTAGTTGATTTTTTTTTTTTTTTCGTTTAAACTCTTTTATTCCTATCATTTTAAATAATCTTGACATACATAGACACCTAAATAATACAAAGTAGTTTTTATTGATTTGAATTCACTTGAAAAATGGTTCACACTACTAATTTGAAGTACATGTCTCATATGAGGTCTACATATATTTTCCGACACAGTTTGAAAAATCGGTTGGTTCACCACAAATTTGGAGTGCATATCTCGTATCAGATCTATGTATATATATTTTGATTTTTTTTTTTTTTTTTTTTTTTTTGTTTTGCGACACAGTTATGTGCTAGGTATAGCTATTATTGTGGTGGTGTATACAACAGTGCAAGTTGGGATAAAGGGTCACGAACTTCGCACCAAAGAGGATGTGATTCCACCCAAGGCTGCAATTTGGATCGACTTTTGTGGGGATCAGGTCAACATTACTCCATGTTTTACTCTTTTGCAATTGTATTTGTCTATCACAATAACTTATTGTACCGTATCTATCACAATATCTTCTATTGGTCCTTGATTTTTTGACATCTAGTATGATAGGTTTACATACTTGTCACTCTATAATTCGTCCAAATATATACTACGTATATTTTTCAATTATATAATTTTTTTATAATATATTTCTCTTTTCCTCTTTTGTTTTCCATTCCCCTCTCCCTCCATTAATTTCTGACCACCGAGCCACCTTTTCTCCCTCCACCATGCCACCGAGTCACCTCCTCCCAAAAAATCAGCCACCCCCCATTCACGACTAGCCATCCAATCTCCACTCCTCCCCCCTTTAACATTTCTATCTCGCTCCTTTTAATTTTCAATTCCCTAAAATCGGCCACCCCTACCCGCCGAGCCACCTTAACCTATGGCTGGAAAACCACCACCAACCCCCTCAACCCACCGCCAGTGACCTTAGAGCAACTCCAATGGCAAGCTAATTGTCAAATTAGCTTGCCATGCCACCTAAGATTGCAAAGTTATTATTCCTTCTAGCTAATTCATACCACAATGGTTAGGCTAATTAATATTTAGATTTTTCAGCTTTATTTTTTAAATAATTAGTATTTTATTAGAGACAATAAATTTCTAAGATAATTAGCTTAGCAAAGCTAATTTGCTTGGCATTAGCTTGACCAAGCTAATTATTAAATATACTCCAATGGTTGGGCTATTAGCTTGAAAATTATTAAAATTGCAAGCTAGTCCTTGAAAGCAACCATTGGAGTTGCTCTTATAACGCAGCACCCACAAGCGACCATGCACCCCCCTCAACCCACCACCACTACTATCAACTTCATATATTCCTCTCAATCCACCACCATCTATCAATTCAAACCACACAAGCAACAACATCCCCCTTAATCCTCTATCATCAGCAATCCTGATAAACGGGTCTGGGCCGCACCCGTCACAAGTATCCATTTTACATGACCAAGGAGGTTTCACCTCAAAACCATATGGCAATAAAGAGAGTAGCCCCTTAGCCTTATGAAGTGGACACAACTTTCTTATTATTACTTCAATGTGGGATGCACTTTCCAACACTTTCTACACTCTTTAATGTAGGACAACACACCACTCACATGTGAGTTTTCTCATAGGCTCAACAGATTCACACCAATGAAACTACCCCAACCCTCGAAATCCCTCCCCAACCACTTAAAATCCCAAATTGAACCTACCCACCCTTGAATACCTCCACCACCCCAAACATAGAAAAAAAAAAGTAATTCGGGTGTTTTTTTTTTGGGAGGGGGGGGGGGGTGGATTTGAGTAGGTGTGGTGGTCATGGGATGGTTGCATTGAGGTGGGTAATAAGGTGGTCGGGAAGGGGAGACAAGGAAAAGAAGCTAGATAGGGAAAGGGTGGTGGCTAGAGGGGAGGTGCATGGAGAGAAAGGGAGGAAAGAGAAGGTGGGTTGAATTGCTATGGAGAGGATGAGAGAGAATGTAAGAGAATGGAAAAAAATAAAATAAAATCTAAAACTTACTTAACATACGGGTAACCGACCACAAGGGACTAGTAGAGAGTGAATGATCAAGTAATAAAGGTGTAGGATCATTAGATATAATAATCAAAAGGTAGGATTATTAACAACTACAGACAAAATAAATGTGGGATTATTATAATCAATTTTCTCTAAATAAACTATGTAAAAAAAAGTGGGTATAAGTGGGGATGAGAGAGAATCTAACAAATTTTAAAGTATGATATAGGGATGTGATATAGGGGGACTATTAATGGGGTAGATAATAGTAAAACATTGTTTTAATTTTCAAAAATAGAAATGGAATACTTTTTAAATTACGGCCTAAAATGAAAAGTGAAGACTAATTAAAATACCGGGGAATTATTTTTATGTTATAATATACTAAGTACATATAGAGTATAAATTTGAGCCACTCCACCCTAGTGAGAACAATGCTCACCTCAAACGTAGATTACTGGTTTATAACTTTTGTCTTAAATATCAATAAATGGACAAGTAATCATTTTTTGCTTGGTAATTATGAATTGCAGTTTTTGGCGTACGTGTTATTTTCATCAAGTTCAACAGGGGCAACATTGTCCATCATTCTCAGCAGTGGAGTTTACATGACTGTAGGCCTACAACTTGTGGCAGCATCCGTCAGCATGTCTGTTTTGACATGTATTTTTCTAGCATTTGCGGCACTCATATCTTCATATTGTTTATTCGCTAACATATAAATGTAATCTCCTATACTTGTATGAACTTTATAAGCATTATCTTAATTACTCTTCTGTATGTTAACTAATTTTATGTACTTTAATTTATAAGCATTTACTTCCTATGTTCCAAATTAGATGATATAGTTTGACTTTGTACTATGCACTATTCACATAAATGGTTTTGACTCGTTTTATGATTTTATATTGAGAAAAAGTATAGACAAGTAGGTTTTTTTTAGATTAATCGCTATGCAATATGTATGAGCATGAGTTGTTAATGCTTGACATTCTATTGTTCATTTAAATATACACCATAATATAATAAATTCAACGAACTAACAACCTTACAAATAAATAAATAGATTATACCACACTATGTACAATATAATTGTCAAAGAATTCTAGATATATCGTACCTTCACAATTAAGCTTTATAAATTAATCAAGTCTACATTTAAAGTCGTCCGTAATCATCAAGATTTACATATTTACCACTATTCACGTGCTTAGATACTTAAAGACAGCCTTTTTGCACCATTAATTGATGATTAGTCAATGAATTTCATAGCTTAGTTTCATTGACAATAATTTTATTATGTGTTAACCATATAAAATAGTTGAATACATACAATATATACTTAGTACTATATAAGAAAAATAGTGTACGTAGAATTGCTTGAACATAATATCACATTTCTCTCCAAACCACTTGTTTTATTTTTGTACAAAATGCAACAACAACCAGAGAAAGAAGCGGCTGGAACCCTTCCACGGCCTCCGGGAAATGACGTCGAGGGCGGAGCTAGAGTGAGGCCGGAAGCAAACACCGGGCCGGCGGGATCTTCAGATGGGAAGAAAATGAAGGGTGATCGGCTAAAGTTATGGGCATTCATTTTTAGGGCATGTGCTTTGGCCGTTTCTCTACTCTCTTTCATTCTTATGGTTGCTGTCACTGACTTCTATTTATATTCAGGGTTCAGGTATTTTAACTTGTTTCTCAAGTCAAACTTTTAGTACGTACTGCTATAGTCATTTATTTGTGCTTCAGAGTGGGGAGTTAGTTCAATTCTCTTAATTACCTTCCTCTATACTCTCATGCCTTAACTTATATATATATATAGCTTTGCGTCTTGTATGTGGTTGGTCACACCATGTGGCCACTTTAAAAAGAACAAAGTAACCCCTATAACATTGATCGGGTAACCCTATAATATTGACCGAGTAATTCTCATCATAACATTAACACTGTCAAATTAAGTAACCCCTGTAAAATTGAACAAGTGACCCCTATAACACTGACGAAGTAACCCTCATGATAGATGAGCACACCGTGTGGCCAGCCACATATAAGACTTTGTGCAAGATATATAGTTGATCTTGATCACATGTATACCACGTATTATACTATATATGGTGTTGATGGATATGAAACCTATTTTTAATTTTGTGTTGCAGTTATGTGCTTGGAATAGCTATTATTGTGATGGTATATACAGCCGTGCAAGTTGGGATAAAAGGGCATGAACTTCGCACCAAAAAAGATGTGATTTCACCCAAGATTGCAATTTGGATTGACTTTTGTGGAGATCAGGTCAATATTATCCTTTTTCTTTTTCTTTTGCAGAATTAATAATCACAAACACAATTTTGTTATTTCTTTAAAAGATCATTTAATATTGAAGTAGAAAAATTGAGGTAATTTGAGTATTGTATTCATAATAAGCACATTGCTTCCTACAAAATAACAAATTCATACCATGTCGAAACTATAATTTAACTAAAAATGTGATACTATTATATTACTAATTTACAATTGAAGTACTTCGTATTATGTGGCAATAAGGTAGCTATGTATTTGTTATAAATTTGTCATGATATACAAATTAAGTATATAATATTTAGACCTTCCTAGCAAATATTTGTTGATAAAACATTGTTAGGTGTAGTAATTTTTGTTTAATGTTTATAATGGATGGCTATTTATATTTGGTTTGGTAATTTTGCAGTTTTTAGCATACATGATATTTTCATCAGGATCAGCAGGGGCAACAATGTCCATCTCATTAAGCAATGATTTTTACACAAACTCAGGCTTACAACTTGTGGCAGCATCCGTTAGCATGTCTGTTTTGGCATTTATTTTTTTGGCACCTGCGGCACTCTTATCTTCGTATCGTTTATTCGCTAATCTTTAAACTCGTTCATAACTCTTTCTCAACTAAATAAGAAAATATTGATCGATCAAGGTTTTACATCAATGGTTATTTCATGCTTTCATTAATCATTATATCTTCGAATTGTGCTTTTCCATTTGTTCTAATTAATTTTTTTAAATAGAAAACATGTTTTTCTTTGTAGGGTTGATCAATCTGTAACTTTTATGTGCCTATGTTATACTACGTACAATTATTGTCTACTTTATTCGCAGCTTCGTCTATTGCTTTCATATATAGTAGTATATATATACTCACTTGACCCACTTTAACAAATTACTTGACCTCGATTAATATTATATTATGCATTAATAGTACGAAGTTTCATACCACAATAAAAGTAGTTATGGTTAAAATATAACCTCTTTATTCCCTTATATGTTCATAATTAAGGTGCATGGATAGTTAAGCGTATAATTTACGTTACTAACCAAATTTGATAACATGGTTATGACGGATACATTTACAATTACAATCAACGATACACGTTAGATAATGATCACATACAACACTTTCTATTTATTATTCTTGAATATATACTGCTTAATAAAGAATAATATTAACGTGAATCTTTGTTTCCTACAAAGAGGAACACATATATACATAACCAACATTACTACTTTCTTCGTTTCACAATTTACGAAACAAGAACATCATCCTGAAACGGAGAGAGTACCTTGCTAAACATATTTTTTACCAGCAATACCTCTTAAATAGATATGCGAGATGTAAAACTTAACTCTCTTTAATTCATGGGTCTCGCATAATATATAGGTAAGACAGTAAGATGTGCCACTTAACTCTAGCTCTAGATATTACTCTTTCAAATTGGCAACCTCACTGGATTTGTACCTGCTGTAGTCTTGTACTCCGTAGTTTGTTAAAAACAGAATTTCATATATATATATATATATATATATATATATATATATATATATATATATATATATATATATATATATATATATATATATATAGAGAGAGAGAGAGAGAGAGAGAGAGAGAGAGAGAGAGAGAGAGAGAGAGAGAGAGAGAGAGGTCTGTAACAAATGTGTTACATTCAAGTGGGAAGAATACACAATTACTTCTATTTTCAAAATTGATTTGCATAATTATAAACTAAACTGCTCAAATTAAGAAGCTTCAGTAGGTGTTGCAGTTGAGTCACTTGAGCATTTCCAAACTGACAACAAACCGGTTCCATCACCAGAGAAGAAAAGCCCTCCAGGGCCGATCTCAATAGCCCTGACTTCTTGTTTCGCAAATATCTTGCCTCTCTCAGCAAAGCTGCAGCAATGGCACCCAGAAATTGTGAGCAATAAGCAAGGTATCACTTGGAATGAAAAATAAAATAAAAAATCAATCTAGTGTAGATACTCACGATGGCAGGTCATATAGACGAACAGTGTTGTCATTGCACGAGGAAAGCAAAATTGGTTTATTTGCTGGATCATGCATACCACGCAAACAGAGAATACCCTGCAAGGAAGATGCAGTTGGGTAAGATGTTTGTTGACAGAATCATCAAAAGTAAAATGAAACAAATGAGGGGCAACTCTAAAATTGAATTGTTAAGTTAATTATTAGACACATCAGAAAACATGCAGAAAATTGTCTAGAGACGACTTACATGCTTCTCCTTGTGTTCATAAGTGACCTCTAGTTCTCCTGCTTCAGTGGCAGCCCAAACCTGCATATTGAAAGGTGTACAGAATTGCTTAGAATGCAAAGAAAAAAACTTAAAATGCTACAAGAACTGTCATATTTACAGATTACTTTACTAAAACCTAAGAGCTAGAGTGAAGTATATCCTCTACCTTTAATGTCTGGTCCAAAGAGCAGGAAAGCAGAAATTGCTCCCAACAAAGCACGGACATCACAACCTCAGAGTGCTTAGAGAGGGTGTGGATGCATTGCATAGTCTCCAGGTCCCAAACCTTTACTGTGTTATCCATTGAACCAGAATAAAGTCTTTTAGCCCCATAAATCAATGAAACCACGGCTAGAGTATGACCCTTCAGTGGTGCTACAGCTTCAAACATAGTAGCTTCAGAATTAGATTTCCACACCAATATTGAGCCATCCTACAATACAGAACCAACTAAATCAGTAAAACACGAATAACAGGAATTTAATAGATAGACAGCTGCAAACAGAAGAAAATGAACCCAAATTAAAGTCCCGAGTTTAAAGCAGATAAGTATTTACATTAACTCCGGCAAAGAGCAATCCATCTACTGCAACCATAGCATATACTTGTCCAGCTGGTCCACTTAAAGTAAATTCAGCATTCATCTGAATGTTCCAAACCTAAAACAATACCAAATAAAACCAGAACAAATCAGTTATGGATCGACAACTCAGTTCAAAACAAAGATAAAGAAAGCCACATAATTTGAGACCATCACAATGTTTCATCAAATTACCTTGATAGCATCAGTTAAACCAGCAAGCACCCATGGTCCTTCACTTATCAGACATTCAACCGGAACACCCATATCAACAACACCTATACACTGCATTGACCAAAATAATCAAATGGTTTAATGATCTATCCTCGCCCTAAACTAAGTCATAAGTACACTGTATATATGTTTAGTATAGAGAAAGAATTGATGATATCTACCTCACCAGTATGGCAATTCCAAGCTCTAACAGTCCCATCTTTACTAGAGCTGAAAAGCTTATCAGAGCCTGATGGAAGAGTAATTCCAGTGATAGCCTAAGAAATTTCATGTGAGCAAAATCAGAAAACTGATAGTCAGAACAAATACAAAGTTGATACACATTAATAATCGAGCAATTTTCAGGTTATATACCTTCTTATGCCCCTGAAGTTGAGCCACCAAGGAAAATCCATCACCATAACACCAAGAATGCAAGTTTTTGCACTTATCACCATAAACACAGCTATCTTTTATCCAATACTCGCATATTATAGTACGCGGGGCACTCTTAACATGTCCATTTGTAGCATTAGAAGCAGCCTGACATGAATGATCATTTTTCCCAATCTTTGCAGGATCACTTTGGGCAACCTCGTTCTTAGAGGACATATTCTGTTTCCTTTTAACCTCATCAGTGCTATCTTCATTCTGTCTCTTACAACTAACATTCAACGGCTTTTTTGGCTCATGGGACTCTTTAAAACTAGAGCGATTCAGTTTCAAAACGCGCTTGATGGGTGCAGGAGTGACCTCTGGGTGCAAATAACGACACGATTTCTTTCTGCAGTTTCCAGCCAACCAAAACTTGCAGACTTTGTTATTGGAAGGAGCAGTGGCAGGTTGACGGTGCCAGCTGAATAAAGCCCTGTTCTGTCTCTGTGAGACTCTTCTTGTGATCGTTTCCATCATTCTAAACAACAAAATACATAAACATGACTAATCGCGCGCAACTATAATCCGTTTCAGCAACTATAAAGGTGCGTCTTTGATATGAATTCCCCTCTTCTGATGATATAGAGAGTAACAGCAAAAACCCTTGTCCAAGAAATCAACCGAAACCACCAGCAATTTCTCAGCAAATTGAATAAAACCCGAAACGATCCGAATTTCACATTCGACACAATACAAGCATATTGTATCAACAATTCTCTTCTGGGTGTGTTATCAATCGAACAAATCTATACAATACATCTTATAAATTGATCGATCCACCAATCAGAGATGCAATATCAGATCTTGTAACCAACCAATGATTCGTATCCAAAACCAAGTAACAATAATCGAATAAAATCAAAAACCCCCTTTTTGCAATTGAAACAATAGAACCCTAGAAATTAAAACTAAAAATCTAAACATGGAAGTAGCCATAAAAATCCCCAATAACGTAACCCTAGAAATCGATACCCTAGATACAGCCAGAACCAAAACCAGAAATCAAAATTCAGCATCGAAATTGTCGTAATCGCAGAGAACAATCCCATAATCGTAAACCCTAATTTAAAGAATACAGCAGAAGAAATACGAGTAATAAGCGAGTTATTGCGATTGTAAAGTTAGCAAACCTGAAAAACCACGATTTGAAGGGATTGATCGATTGGTAATTATGAGAAAAGGGACTGATCGATTGATGATTATGAGAAAAATTGAATTGAGAATTTTAAGGATGTTAGTTTTGCGATCACAGGTTAGAGTGAGAAAGACGGTGAAACAGATGTTATTCTCAGCAAAAGAATGACCCATTTGCATTAAAACACCCACTAATTTGCTACAATATTTGTGCAAAATTAGCTTCCCCATATAAAAATTTGATTTTCCATGTTACTTTATTACTTTCTCTCTGTTTTTTTTTACAAATCCCATGTAAATTTATCTTTCCAATATACTTTTACTTCTTTTTACTAAACTTCCTTAATACCCGCGTAATCAACCCAAATGAGTCGTTCTTTTTGGACGGAGGGAGTATTCCTTTTCCTTGATTGCAAAGATTTAGGGTTGGGTCAAAGGGTCAACCTAAACAAGGGATTGGTGTTAAACGATATTTTTAAGTGAATTAAAGGAAAATTTACAAATTGTAGTCATTAAAAACTTGTATTTAGTAAATTGCAGTCATTTAAAAAATAAATTGCAAATTGCAGCCAAAAGTTGTTATAAATTGTAAATTGCAGCCAAAAGTTGTTATAAATTGTAAATTGCAGCCTAATTCAATTTTTTCATTGATTTGCGTGTTGAAAAATGCCCGTTTAAGGTTTTAGGGGTCATTTAGTCCTTAAAGATCCAAATTTAGCTCAGAATTGGCAAAAAATAACGTAAGTGTCTCGTTGTGCGTAACAAAAATGTATAGATTTGTGGACAATTATTTTTTTCCTAGTAAAAATGAGGCACTTACGTTAATTTTTTGCCAATTTCTAGCTCAATTTGAGCCCTTAAGAGCTAAAATAGCCTCTAAAACCTTAACAGAACATTTTTCGACACTCAAACCGATGAATAAATTGAAGTGGGTTGCAATTTATAATATATAACAACTTTTGGGTTGCAATTTGCAATTTTTTTTAAATGACTGCAATTTACAAAATACAAGTTTTAAATAGCTGCAATTTGCAAATTTAAGAAGAAGTTAGGGTTTGGGTTTTTTTTAATAAGGAAAGGTAAACAAGAAGTTAGGATAGTCTACTTTTAAGACGACTATACCTTTACGGCTTTACTTATCAGAATAAATAAATAAATAAATAAAAGAA